ATTTTTCTGTCGATAGTCATAAGTCATATCCTGTTACTTTTAAAAGCTGTGATGTCAGAAAGTAAACGTGACTTCAATTACAAGGTCCGCGTTCGCGGAAATGCGACATACAATCTGTTCCGGTATAACCTCTACAAAGAAAGGAGCATACATTTCTATGCGTCACTTAATTGTTTACGTTTGTTGCAACACACACCGGTAAAGGTATTGCCCCCGCAGAGGTGTCCCGTATCTCACGTATCTGTGTCGTGTGTCTTACATTTGTAAGACATTTGCCTTATTAAGCGTCACGAGGACGTACCCTGGAAAAGGCGCGAGAACGACATGTTCGTCAAGGCGGCCCACCTCCGTCCGAGCAGCGCGAGTGTCCTGACACACCGCATCGATCCCCGCAAGGCACTGAGAAAGTAGAGAAAGAACGTGCCGGCACTATTCGATCGGTGCGTCCGTCCTCGTGCTACATAGCACAAAGCAGAACGAATGTTTCTTAAACCGCCAGTCAGTATATTTAATCGCTTGTAATTGTTCCGTCACTCCCGTCGTTAACCGAACGCTTCATCGGCGTAATATAGCTGATGTGATTCGCCTCTCGCGAAAAAAGCGCGAACAAATTAAAATCTTAAATCTCAAAATTAATCGATCACTGTGCGCGATGACAAATGAAAGAAAGGAAGAAGAGAAAAAAAGAAGAAAAAGAAAAAAGGAAGAAAGGAGAGTAAAGAGAAAAGGAAAGAAGAAAAAAGAAGAATAAAGAGCAAAAGAAGAAATAAAGAAAGAAGAACAAGAAAAGAAAGGAAAATAAAGAGAAAAGGAAAGAAGAAATAAGGAGAAGATAGAGAAGAATAAGAATTAGAAGAAGAAATAAAGGAACAAGAAAATAAAGAAAAAAATGGAAGAAGCGAAGAAGAAGATACACGCGTACGAGAGCAGTCTTTGATCGCGCGTGTCGTTCCGAATTAATTTGCGATTAGGAGAAATTTTAACACAATATCAAAATAGCACGATGTGTAAAAAAAAATAGAAAACAGCTTTGTTTCAGATTTCACACGAATTTTGCGTGATTCTCGCACTTTTCTCCAGTTTCAGTTTTCCTCTTGGCGTGGTACACACCTGTTGCGGCGGAGATGTCCTGACTCGAGTCGGCGCTTCTCCGGAAGGCTCTGCAATTGCCCGCGCCCATGCTGCAGCCGTGTGCGAACTGTCGATCGAGTGTCGACGAGACTGAGAGCCGAGGAAAAAAAGGCTGCGCGCCTATGTTTTCTTACGGATCGACCACGAGAGTGTACCGTGCGCGTAGATATCCCCTCGTGATCTACGATCGTGCGGGCGTACGCGACCTTGGGACATTCGCGATAGTTAGATTCGCACTCGAAGACTTTCACACATTGCGCGAGATACGCTCCTCGCGCCCGGTTCGCCACCGCCCTTCCGCCGGTCTCGCGATTGGAAAATCGGAACTCTCTCGTGCAGCGAAACGGCAATCTCGAAATTCCATTAGGTTCCAAGGAACCGCGGTTAGACGATAAGATTACCGTGACTCATTCCAGTCACGAGTTACGACATACTTATTACTCGGAGGAGAGAGAGCGACGAGTACTTATATACTCCCGTTCGTGGCTGGACTTGTATAATGTGGGGAAGTCGAATCCGCAGGCGCAATGCGAACGTTCTACGAATTGGTTTCGAAGAGGCGCTCAATGCCTCTTGCTAATTATAGACCGTTTCTCTCCTTTTTCGGAGGAGTTCGGTTCGACGTTTCAGAGAAAACCCAGCAAACACCAAGTAACACATGCAACTCGCAATTTCCTACTCAAAAATGTAAATGCAATATGTGTAGGAAATTTTAAGTTGCATGTAAGTTGCGTGTTACTTTGGTGTTTGCTGGAAATGTATATACAGCATAGAGTAATTTGAATTATTTCTATCGCCTCTAAAGGAGCTAAAGCGCTTTGTTGTATCGTGGCTATTGTTGCACGTCCGTCAGTTTTATCGATAATTCAAAGTTAAAAGACGAAGCGTCGAGAGTCGAGATATCGCGATATCATGGCTTGATCATCATTCATCATAACGAATTTGGAATTTGCACAACAAGTGTTTACCGTGCGCTACCGTCCTCTGTGGAAATTTCGCGGAACAGGGTCGGAAACAGGCATGGACGGTAATATGAAGGATGTAGAATAATTCCTGTTGCCGACCGCGATACAGCTCCGCAACGTCGGCGTTCGGCAATTATGTTCAAGCTCGTTGGATGTCGTGAGAATTCAGTTTCTCGCGCGGTTTCTCGGTGCCGCGGGGACGACTTGTCCGCACAGTCGACAGTCGTTTGGGCTTAGTGAACCTACGGACCCAGCTCACATTCCGCGGACTCGTACACACATTTACACACAACGAACACATTTTTTGCGAGCGATGATTGTATGAACATTCTTAAGTAAGGATAAGAACAAAAAGAATGGGAATGAGAGTAAAAATAGGAATAAGATTAAAAAAGATATCGTGTTTGACGTGGATGAAGCGAGAGTTAGAAACTTATTTTTATATTTATATCTCTTATTAAAAGATTTGTTTCCGACTTTTCCGCACGAAAATCTCCGCTTCGCAGTTTTCCCTGCATTTATTTCAAGGAAAATCATCTCTTTATTAGACTCTGATTTTATTGTATTCCCCAAGCTCTTTCCATCTCGCGCGAAAGATTAATGGCGCAAAAACGAATACAAAGTAAGTGAATAATAGGAATAAATGAATTCAGTAATGAGAGCGTGGGGATTGAATATTGAGGGAAAAAAACGGGAAGTGAAACGGTACACACTACATACACATATTTTTTCAAGATATAAATTATATATTTATTTCAGTTTTTTTTTTTACAATTTGCACGAAAACTACTAGGTCGTAAAATGAATGCCATCGAGTGAAGATTAAAACTAACGTTACATGACGTTTTAACACGCGAAGTTGCTCGCGCCGAAATGCAATGCGCTAAGACACGCCATGTGCACATAATCTTAGAAACTCGAATATATTTTTAATAATGGTTAAGAAGCTGCGATCGTCCGCCAGTATCCCGCGGGATGAGATAAGTTTTAAGCACGTTCTTCCAGACCAAGTTTCAGTTTAGGTGTTTTTTTTTTCCTTGGCTACTATCTGAATTGTTAATTCATGCAGAATAACGAAGACTCGATACCACGTGCGTAAATAGAAATAAGATTGGCTTCTAGCTGTGCACTTCGGGTTCTGCAGCCTTTTATCTAACAAAACCGACTTCGGCGCGATCGAAATCGGCGCGAATCGGAAAAAATTGGTCACGGATCCCCGAACCGCGACGAAAATTAAAAGCGTTCGTTCCGCGGCCGCACCTCGCTCCGAGATCGCACATCAAAACGAAATGCATACGCGCGGGGTCGTAGGTTTCTTGCGCCACGCCAAAAAGCAATTACGTTGGTGCGAAATTAAGAGAAACCGGCGGCGTTTCTTTTCCTTCCGTTTCGCTTCGTAGCGTTTCAATCTCCAGCGGATAACACGGTCGATCTCACTTGTGTGGTCCCCCGGCCCTCATGCACCAGCCGGCGAAAAGGGAGAGGACTGCGCGGTGGCTCGCGAGATTTAAATTAGCAACCGTTAAAGCCTTCAAAAGAGACATTCGGTGTATTCAACGATGCATGAAAAACGGAGCAGCGCGCGGCCGGCACACACGCAGCATAGGGGTAGTAAGGGTAAACGGCTACGCTAGAGCACGGCTATTTAATTTGTGCCTGGCGGCGGCGGCGGCAATAGTATAGTGGCGACGGGGCGGGGAAGCGACGGTGGTGGCAGTCGGGGGTGGTGGCGGCGGCGGTGGCGTAAGGTTACGCGGATCTCTCGCTCTTTGAAGTCGGTGGTTGATGGCGGTCGGTCACCCCGCTGGCGCTGCACCGCCGCTAGCCGGCGATGTGGGCTTGGCGCGTACGCACTGAAGGCAACCCCCCCCGACGTAGGAGAAACCCCGGGGTCTCCGGGAGAAGCAGGAGTTATACCAGGCGTGAGGACGATGGTGGTCTCGCGTGCGAGACTTGAACCGAAACGGATGTACATCATCCCGCGTTCCTTTCAGCATCGCGTCTTCCCTGGCGTTTCTTCGAAAAGATCGCATACGTTTTGTTCGCGCTGCACGCGTATTTGCGTGACGTTATTCGGTCGGACACTCGCGGGCTATTTTTCTTTATATTTCTGTGAGAGACGGAATAGAATGTGATAGGATGAGAAATAGGATGAATTGGGAGACGGGCAATCAGTCATGTAATATTTGTAAATTTTTAATGGTATCTTTTTAGGTGAGAAATTTTACGGTAAAGCGCGATAAATCAGGAGATGAATAAATAATCTTGTCCGTTTTTCCAGTGTGAAATTTTAATTATTTTTCTATGCAAAAATAATCAGGTTCGCGATTTATTTTGTACGTTTTCGTTGTGTTGTCGTAGTGAAAATAGCCGGACTCGGTCAGCCAGATTTCAGTAAATCTGACGAATATATATAGGTCAGCCGTCAAGTTATCGAAAAGCTTCAAATTTCTTTTCTTATTACAATCAATTATATCTATAATTATGATAATTTATGATTGGCTACGTAACAAAATGATCTTTCTTCCAATTTAGAGCTGCTCGTCGTTATTCCAACAATGTACGACGTTAAAGTAATTCGGAAGGAATCGACCGCGACTTATATAGTCGCTCTCGTCCACGCGATGAAACCCTGAAATAACCCCAACTTTTGGCATCTCGTTTCCGGCGTGGCGTGCAGCGTGATGCGGGCATTAGGCTACGTGCAATTTCTTCTGTATCCTCACGACGGAGCCGGAGCCCGCCGCGGGCGTAGCGCGTAGGGTATGATGCCGAGCGCGTGCCGAGGGTGGCCGGTCGGCGCCGAGCGCCGTCGAGCGCGTCCGAGGTCGGTCGAATCGCGGCACCGAGGGAACTTAGCGCGCAGCTCGAAGTGCCCCGGTTTAGTCTATCTCCAGGCGCCTAGACGCGACGAGTGCCGAGAGGGGTTGCGGCGCACGAGGCAGAGGGTTGCGCGCGTGGGTTGTACGGTCGTCTCGTTCCTGGTCCTTCCCTTCCCCGCGTAACACACACACACACGCACACGCACACAATCCGCACACGTATAACACACGCGCACACGCGTATACGCAACTATCCGCACTTTTCCGACTTCGCCGCCTCCCTTATGTTTATACCGATACGCAGTCGGAAGCCGAACAGGTGAATACCCCCTGACCTCCTCTCCCCCGCGATGAAACGGGAGTGGTAGATCCTTCTCGTCTTAACCCGTTTAGTCCGTCTACCTTGCCATCCGCCTGCTGCCTACCTATATCCTCTGATCTCTCGCGAAATTTTCCAAGGAACACGATGACTACGGCACCGCCGGCGGGGATGGACGCAGAGCCGCGGAAGAGACAGTTCGCCGGGCATCGGCCGTGCACGAATCGGTCGGCCCACCACGTGGATCGCGGTCTCGCGCTCTCGTCGCTGGCACCGTTCGCGCTCGTCCTCGTCCTCGCGCTCGGTAAGTAGTTTCTTTTGACCGCAACGCGTGTTCGCCGATTTCCTAAAAAGCTCGATCAATCGTCGAACATCGTGCTCCTGATGATATTACGGACGGTAATTGCGGAACCAATTATCGTTCAACAGAAAAATAAACCAAGTCGGAAAAATCTCGAAGGCATTTTATGACTTAAAGAGATTCCTTTCATCGAATCTTTTGGTTTTCCCAGATAAAAATAAAAAACATACGTCTAACTTTTTTACGTTTCTGGTATTAATGGTCTTTCGTGTGTCTTTTTAGATTTCTGAACTCCGGAAAAATAGGAAAGATTAATTCACAGACGTTATTCTCTCGTTATACCACTGATAAAATCTGTATTATTATTAACCGTATAATTATTCTTAAAAATAACTGTTACGGTACTTCATTATCACGTTAAGCAAACTGGAACTCGCTATTAAGCTTCATGTTAATCATTTGTGAATATAACGGAGCGTGTTGTTTCGAGCAAGCACGGCGTCAGATTATCGTGATTCGTGATTCATAACACGTTTTGTGTGAGACACATTCCGAGTTACAGTTTTAATAAGACACATGGGACGGCAGTACCACGAGTTTCGTAGTCGTTTCACTTTACAGAATTTTCAACTTTGCAACTTATCGCTAAGATAACGCGCGCGCACACAATCGCTTGCCGTAAACGCGGAAATATGAGAATGTATTTTATTTAAAAAAATATTCGCGGAGTTTATTCTATATTGTTGCGATTTTTTTGTCCGATAACTCGCATATTTTTTTGTGATCTACAGCCATCATTTGTACAATCTCGTTTTTTTTTTGGCATCAAAACGACGACACGCGTTAACCTACTGTCGGGATAGAGTTTCCGAAAACATATAGAAAAATTGATGCAGCGCGATGGAGCGCGGTCGCGGTGCATCCGCGGAAAATTCAATTCTCTGCCAGAAATATCTTGCACGAAACCAGATATTGATCTTACGGAGCGGAAGATAGCCGCCGCGGGTGATAGCGTTCGTGTAAACTGAGTCGCAACGTCGTTTAACAAAGTGGGGACAACAATATTCGCGCTCGTTGATATAATCGCGCACCGCAATGTAACGCGAGAATCGCGAGCTGTCGAGAGAACGGCGGAGAGGGCACCGCAACAAAATCCATTTCCGCAACTCCCCCGCTGCCATTGAAGCTCAATATTGTCGGGACTAGAATAACAAGTGTCTTATTACGCGCGTCATTGATCGCGAAATCCGTTCGTGAACGATGTCAAATGTTTAGTAAAAATCGACAGAAAAATACAAACAAATGGATATATTACGCTACTATTGTTTCCGGAATTGTTTCCAGAATTGTTTTCAAAATTGAAAACTCAGCGGTGAAATTGATAATTTCGTTATTTTGCGTTTTTTTTTGTTAATATTTAACGCGAAACAATGCTATTAACAAGTTAATCGCGTTGTAACTGCTAATTTCCCGTCTTTCCCATGATGCAAGAGTAATTTACCATCGATCCGATTAGGAGGCAAGTTAGCCAGCCAGGCATGGGGGAGAGGGAAGAGTAAAGAGCACTTCTGAAATGCATCAGCCATGGAGAGTACTGTCTAACGGCGCTAATCGGTCAAGTGCCCGTTGGTTGTCGAGTAATAATTGGCAGAAGCGAATAATCAATTATGTTAACGCGGATATGGCATGCCCTTGTAATTTCACGCGCGCGTATTATCATTACCGTGAAAGCGTTTTAGCGATCGGCGATCGGCGATCGCTCGCGTGTAATCTACGTCAATATCAATTTTTCCAAGCGGAGCGAGGACGAGAAGAAAATTTTATTATTTCGTGGAAAGGAGAAAAGAAAGAGTAGACAAGACAGGTACCGTCATGTACAGGCGCATATACGTATCGTATTTCGCGCAGTGCGCCGCATGAGAAAATGTATGCCGTGTTAAATTTATATATTATATATATATACATATTACATACATTCCGCGCTCCTTGTCGCGAGTTATACGTTCCATCTGCGAGTTTTTGAAATTTTCTGCAATGATCAGTTTTCGCCAAATATTTCGTGTATCGCGCGCTGCCGCGCTCAAACGCGAAACTTTATTGAGATCTTAAAGTATTCATGCTCAAAAATAAAACCTCGTAACGCAGCATATGTAATATCTCGGATAAAAAAGAAAGAAACGTTGAGAAAAAAGTCGGGGAAAAAATAACAAGGAATAAATCTCTTGTTGAAATTCAAGCCCCTTTGATTCATCTTCCTCTTGATGTACCAAATATTTCACGTATTCGTGTGCTCTGCGATAAAAACTTAAAAAATCTCATCTTAAAGTATTCATGCTCAAGAATAAAACTTTGCAACGTACGTGGTGTACATAATATTTTGGATGAAAAAGATAGAAACGTATAGAATAAAGTCGGGAAAGTAATAAGGACTGAATCTCCCGGATTGGAATTTAATCGAAATTCAAGCCCCTTTGATTCCTCCCCCCTCTTGATGGTGTACCGGTTTATCCTTATCGGGAGCACGCTGTCGCATAAATCAAAGTGTTTATTCAGTAGCCACGTAGAGAGTCGGGTGGAGAATGCGAGATGGTGGAGCCGTGCGCTGCTCCTCGCTAATAATCTACGACGTGCCGCTTTTCTGACCCATACTTGATAAATATTGCAGCAGTATACACTTTTGCCGTCTCTCTCTTTCCCCCGTTCGAGATAAGTCGAGCGAGAAGTCTCGAGGTCGGATGTCCCAGAGGTTTAGCTTTTTAAACTCAACTTGGACATTATACTCGGAATTATCCGACGTTCCGCCGGATAGGAGAGAGGAGGATAAATAATGGGATTTCGATATTTGAGAAATCTTGGCGAAAAGATGGCCGCTCCTCGTAACGAGCAGATACGTAGCTTCGTTTCGAACTATATCAAAGTGGCGTACACCACAAAAGGTCTTTTTGAAGAGGCGGATTCCCCGGGCGAAGTTTAATCCGTCAATCCGTGAATAAGCTCAAGAGCGGCGTTTAGTTTCTCCGATGAAACTTTTACGTAACGTACATTAAATTAGCTCCTGCTCGGATAAGATTATAAGCTATATCGGCGCACAAAGAGGCGGCGCACCCGAGGCCTGCCTTTTCCCTCCGCGTCACGTCACCGGCCAAGAAAGATAATTCGACACAATGTTTAATTACGGCGCGTAATTAATGGCGCACCTACGAGAGTGGGTTCGCGAACGTCCGACCGCTATCCATTCAACCGCCGAGTAATCCTTCGGACCACAATGGATCTACGACGTGGAATGCGCCAAACCGTCGCCTACACGGGTCAATTTATCGTTTCCCTCGGACGGCAGGACAAGACATGCCTTTCGGGATGCCGTAAACGTTTGCCCGTAACGGCGCGGGCAATGATTTTAAATCTCTGAGTCGCTATGTCATGACATTCCGTAGTTTAGAATTCATTCAGTGGGCTGAAAGATAGCGCAAAAATTTTTATTGACCGGACGAACGGTATTTTATCAATCCAACTTTATCAATCTATTATTATCTTTATTAATATATATTTTGCACTGCATTTTGCATGCAATTATTGACAACGTAATAATAGTTTAAGAAAAAAATACGCAAATAGATTCATGATCTGCATTGATCAAATTAATCTCAGCCACAATTAATTACGACGGTCATTGACCGCTATAAAATGGAGCAATTCGTTTTCATAATGAGAAAAAATTAACGTGGTTGGCAAAAGGATAAAAATTGTTTCAAAGGGAATTAAACGTGGTTGGCAAAGGATAAAAAGGGTTTGACAACTTTCTTGGAATTCAATCAGAGAATCACAGGCAACGGATAATCTTAATAATCGATTTCGGTCGATCTCATAAGCCGAGCGGTTTCAAGAAAGCGAAATGTCGAGTATCACATCGAGGGGATTGGCCGAGTGGATAGTCGCCGCGTGTGGTCAGCCGGTTCCATTCCTCCCTCTTCCTATTAATCGGAAAAGTGTACAAAGACCGGCGCGCACGGCCGCCTGTTGAATTTGCCTCGGTATATACCTGTCGATACGCGCTGCTTGCCGCCGCGGAGCGCAACGTGGAATTGAAAATAACGCTATCGGAACGCTATCGGGATGGTATCTAATCGGAAAGCAATTATGAGCCGTTGAGTTTAAGCCGTGGCATACCGTGTACGCCATAGTCATTGCTGTTGTTATAGCTCTGGCGTCATTCTCGATACCACCTCCGGTGCTCCGATTTACGCTAAATTCGTCCGGATAAAATAGAACGCACGAAACGATGAAGACCCTCCCTCCCTTTCCCACCTCCGTCACGGTGACAGCCAGTTTAATTAAATTTCGCGTTCAATAAACTTTTTAACATCCGCGATTTCAAGTTTTGTTTTTTAATTTCTCTCTACGCTGTGCAAAACAGACTATGTATGTGTGTGTGTGTATACATGTGAAAAAATTGAGCTATATGATAAATATATAAGCTGGATTTACATATTTATATGTTAAAATAATTTTAAAAAAAATCTGTACATATTATTAATAGATAAAGAGTTAGAAGATAGCATTTTGCGAGAATTGTGACGTTAGGTAATCATCGGAATAGAGTATAGAAATTTCTCTGTATTCTTCCGAGCATCGCCGATATACGCTCCAGTTCGTCCATTCTCAATTCTTACGCCGCGAAAGCTGGGTAGTAAGTAGCAAGCGGTATTCCGTGTATTACGCAGAAAAGCACACACAGAGAAATAAAAGAGAAACAGACGGGGATAAAGAAACGAGGAGCAAGGAAGGGACGTAAGATCGTAGTTCTTGTAATACAGACATCTCTCCTCCGCTTCTCTTTTTCAACCGTAGAAGCGCTCGGCTGTCATCGGCAGTATTTAGTTTAAGGATAGCGCAGCTCGCGCGGGGAGCCCGCGGTTCCGAGCCCGGAATAAAGATGGAGTTGATAGTGGGGTGGATGAAGAAGGAGCTCGATATCGCTCGTGGTAGGAAGAGAATGAGCGGAG